GAGAGAGAGAGAGATGCATCTAAGGCACAAACCAAGTTGAGTTGCTGCTGCTATCTGACATCAACTCCAACAGCCTCAAGTCAATGCCGCATGGCGCCTTTCCACTAAAGCCAACGTCTTCTCATGACCTAAATACGATATCCTACTAGAAAATGTCATCCACACAACCATGGGATTGTTAGCTGTCCTACCCTTCGATAAGGCACTCTCAAAATTCTCGTATTTTCGTTTTACAAGGAAATTCCATTAGAAAAATTTCTCAGTAGTGTTTTGGATAGCAATCTTATTATCGTATCCTTACAAGTGAAAATGAACCATTTGTTAATTTCTGCAAGGAAATTTTGGATGTTTTTTTACATTATCAAATAATCAATATCAACAAGAAGCGTGCACAACTTCGAAGAATTCCATATATTTTTTTTCTATTTTTATATTGAAATGCCGGTGAGTTTTCTTCCCAAATAAGAGAAAATGGGTCAAGGAAATGTTTATGGGCGTAGGAGTGGATATTAATTAATGGATCATTTATTTGAATTGGTTAAATTGATATTTTTTTAAATATTTTGGATCATGTTGGAGATATTTAAATAGATATTTTTGCTTGGTCCGAAACATTGCACGGAATAGCGGTAACGTGGTCCTCTACAACACTTTCAGCAGTATCCACTATGTCGAGTCTTGAAGTGCATCTAAACATCCATTTTGATCTGTCTGGAGGGAAGGTATTATTTCTTCTCTTGGTTCTTATATTTCAATTTTGTATTTCTTCTCTTCTTTAGGTTAGTGTCCATTTCAATTTTGTTTTCATTTTTATATATTTTATTTTATCAGTTTTTCATTTACTACTGCTTAATTTGATAACAACTCGGTATCTTAATTACACTAACAAGAACCATAACAATAAAAAAATTAAAAAAAATTTCATGTAAAATTTAAAAGATTTAGTTACAAAGAGTTTTGAAGAAATGAGAAATGAGACACAATTGGATGCACTTTCATAAGAATAAAACAAAAAAAATAGATTCTAACAAAAAAGAAGATAGACAAATATGATCCAATTATCAAGGTACAAAATGGGTGAAAGAATTTTTCTAATTATTCCTAGAGAAAATTTTACTAGAGATATCAACGAGCGCATGAATCATATTGTACGGTGAAAAAAAAAGAAGCAAAAACATGCTAAAAGAAGATCTAATTTACTCTGATAAAATGTGATATCATCAAGTATGATTGATTTTCATAATAATAACCTATATTGAGATTAATGATATTGAGGTAGTAAAAGAATAAGATAAAGAATTTTGAAATACATATTGGAATAAAAATAATTATTTTGAAAAAATAGATAGAGATGGAAATCAAGGTATTTACAACACAATTTTCTGGAAGTAAATAATATTATTTTTGTTAAAAATACAAATAGAATCTTATTTGTAAAAGAATTTTGAAATAATTAAAAACTACAAAACGAATGAATCAGCAAAAATTTAAAGGTTGTAAAATCTAATACAATAAGTAATTTATAGTTGTCTGAGTCATTAGAAATAGATACAAATGACGATTATGAAGAGTATCAAATGAATTTTATAGCGTTCAAAAAGCGCTTGAAGGGGTTAACATCAAAGGAGTCAAAATTAAATATTTTTAAATTTAAAAATATTACTAAATTTTAATGCTGAATAGCTGTTGAAAGATAACATAGACGTTAAATAAGATTATTTTTAGAGGAATATAACTGGTATATTAAAAATAAAATAAAATTA